CCCCAAAACCCCAAAACCCCAAAACCCCAGATGGATGATAGAGAGTTGAAACATATACTAATTCACCAATAAGAACTTGTAACAATTTGAAAACTCTTCTTAAGATGAAGATGATAGCTTGGAGTCTTGGCCATTTGAGCCAAACAATGGAGTGCTCGTTTTAACTAATTCATTTCTATATTGAAGATTCGATACTTCTGAAGAAAATGATCTTGCTCCTCTCAAACTCTCAGATTTTAAAGAGCTCCCAGATTTCCAAGAGCTCTCAGATTTCCAAGAGCTCTCAGATTTCCAAGAGTTCTCAGATTTTCAAGAGCTTTTATCCATAATTTCAACAGACCATACAAGTTGAGAGAGCCTTAGGCTCTTATAAGTCTTCCATTCTGCCAAGATTAGCTTCACCACAATAACAATAGCTCCAAGAATACCAAAAAGCAGAAGTATCTTCCAAACCAAAGAGGAGGAGTCCTTCACAGGATCAATGGGTCTTTCATAAAATCTGCGAATAATTGGATCGGCCTCAGTAAAATTTCATGCGAAATAGCCAGGATACAATGGTAAAAAATGCTGTCCTACTCGAGGTCTGATGCACCACATATTTGTTTCAAAATACTCTCGCCCTTTCTCTTGGACAATAGCATTATATATTGTTATGATCTTCACCCAATAATGTAAGTCCAATTCCCAATACCCATAGTCGAACTCTCCAAAGACCAGCCTGATATAAACTCTGATGATATCGAAGATCCCTGTCAACCAAGCAGCTGCTGATATCTCATTAACATTAGCCGTACTAAAATGATCAAACATTAGTGGCTTATAAAACATATCATACGTTATGTTAAATGCTTCACAGTATAATTCATTAACATTTGGAAAATCAGAAGCACTGATAGCAGAGGGACGCAAAATTGATAGCAGTTGGAACATTATTCGTTTGACAGTGCTTGCTATATATCGAGGGCATTTTAAAACATTTGCTGTCTTCACTCTAAACTGAGTGACATGTCCAAACTCTGCACTAACAACACCCAAAACCAGCACCAGCACAAAAAGTATTTTCTTGTTAACCACCATATTTAGCTAACGATTATAAAATTCTATCCTCTGGTTTTGTCCTGGGGTTTTGGGGTTTTGGGGTTTTGGGGTTTTGGGGTTTTGGGGTTTTGGGG